TCCTAGAAGGGGGAGAAACGTATGCCAGGTGGTGGCCTCCCATCCAGCTTTGCCATCCGTAGACCTTGCTGACTTGTACCTTTCAGGAGAGGGTGTGGGTTTCTGATGAGACCTTCCTCCTTGTCACGGCAGTAGTGGGGCCGGGTGCCTCTTGCTGTGACTGTCCCTTCCCCTGGGGAGAGAGAGTGCACTCGTGGTCCTCACAGCCCTCCCCTTTCCTCCTTGCAGTATGATGATGGCAGCGGGATGAAGCGAGAGGCCACCGCAGATGACCTGATCAAGGTTGTGGAGGAGCTGACGCGGATCCATTAGCCCAGGACTGGGAGCCCCTTTCCCAGGCCCTCCCCGAAGGCTTTGCTCTCCTGCCCTGCTCCCCTCCCCCACCATTGTCTTCTCAGCCGTGGGAAGCCTTTCCCTAAGCCAGCTATCCCAGAAGCCACAGTCTATCTGTGTGAAAATGGGGATTTTTTTGAACTAAAACCGGTTCACTGGAGACCTGGGAATGGGGTGAAGGTGGAATATTTTCTCCCTGGATTTTTACCAGTCCCAGAGGATTCCAACCATCACTTTGGACACCAAGCCTTGATTGGTGTTGCCTGCTGTCCTCCTTCCAGGGAGGGATTTTGCAGCTCTTGGGCTGAAAGGAAGCTCTGTGTGTGTGCTGTGCGTGCGTGCGTGCGTGTGTGTGTGTATGTATCTCACACTCATGCATTGTCCTCTGCTATCTTTTTATTTAGGTTGGGGTGTGGGGAGGCTATGGGTAGGGGGGAGGAGGGGCGGGACGGGTTCATTGTCTCTGAAGTGAGAGCTTCCTTTTGCTTTCTCTATTGCCTGAGAGCTGTGGGGTCTGGAGGCCTGACCATCAGGCCGTGAGCTGCCCGAGTCTGAAAGCTGGAGATGGTGGGTGATTTCCAAGCCGCCGTAGCCTTTTTGTCTCTGGGGAACTGCCTTCCTCAGAGGGAAGGAGGTGGGGGGCCGTGAATTGGTTGTTAGTTTCTGAGTTTTACCAAATAAAGTAGAATCTAAGAAGAAAGCTCTCTTTGCCTCCACTTCCTGCCGCCCAGCTTCCCAGTCACACAGTGCCCAGTCCAGGCACACTTGTCTCCCTCCTTTAGGGCAGTGGCTGCTGCCACAGCTGCTTTCAGGTAGTGAAGTGACCTCTGTGTGTCTCCTTTGCTGTGCGATCATTTTTGGTGGGATCCCAAGGATAATAGGTGTTGGGTTTTCAAAATACAGCGGTTGCCTTTGACTCTGTAGTCACCATGTGGTTCCCAGTTGCCTCTGTCAATGACCTGCCAAGCCTGGGAGTTGCTTGGGCTCCCTTTCCGGATGGCATTTGAGATGTGTGCACAGCGCCTGGCCAGCTCGCCCCCAGGCGCCGCTGCTTGGCCAGGGCAAGTGGCTCCTCGTGTCCCTCCCAGCTTCCTGTTGCCACGGGCTCTTTGGAGGCAGATTTTATTTCCTCTGGTTTAATCAAGTAAAACCTATGGCACCTTTGGTTTGAAAATACAGGAGTAGGACACATTAGGGGTTCACCCTTCTATCCAGCAAACAGAGCCTGTCTTCTTTCAGCTCAGTGGGTCAGAGTGCCTGGGCCCACATTTCCACCAGTGATCCAGTGGGAATAAAGGCTGCTCTGTCCCAACAGTGGGGAGTAGGGTTGATCCTAGGCATATTGGCAGGCTCCTTTAAGACCAGCCTTTGATACGGTGTCAGGAAAATTGTGGTTTCAAGTTCAAACTGTGGTTTTGAGAGATTCTAGCTTAAAAGAGAAAGGGCCAGGAGGCATCTCTGCTTTGGGGGTCTTCTGGAGTAAGCTTCCTTCCTTGGAGGCATTCCTTGTGTTTCATTACTGTTCTTTTCCCCATCCTCTTCTGGGATTTCTGAGGGTGGGGGATAAGGGTCTTCAAGGGGAAAAAATCAGCATCTCAAAAACCACAGTTTGAACATGAAACTCAACACTGTGATTTGAATTCTTCAAGTCATGGTTTGATTTGAAAAGGCCTGCCCCCATGCCAGAGACCAGCTTTCATGGGGCAGACAAGCAACGGTCTCCAGATTATTTTAAAATGTTAATCCGAGATGGAGGATTGCCTATAAGGTGCTAAGATCGGAAAGAGAAGGCAGTGGGATGATGATTCTGGTGCTTTTTCGTTGTCTGACCTGCACCACGGAGACCTGCTACACGTTATTACTTACCAGTGGCTTCAGTCTTGACTTCGGAAGCTCTGGAGTCCTTGCAGTTTTTTGTTTCCTATAATCTTGGGTATATTCACTGAGGACTGAATTCCAGCAATCTTTTGGAAACTGACATTGTCTTGCCACACTCCCACATCCCCTCTTAAAAACCATTAATCACCTCTCCAGGGGTGAAAGGTTGCCCTTGGAGCTTTGCTGCAGCCAGCTGGAATGGTCCTTCCCGTGTAGGCGCTGATGAGCTACTCACTTCAGGCCTCTGCACGAATGGACCTTGGGGAGAATAATAGAAACACTGACTCATCACATGACCATTTGGAAGGGTCACAAGCCAGAGGCTGCCTTTCTGGAGCCAACAACAACTTGGATCCTCCGCCCTCAGCGGAGGGTCCCTTTTGTTCCGGAGAAGCCACAGGCCACAGAAGTGGGAAGGAAACACGGAGAAGCTGCGGCCAGAGGATATGCCCAGAGCAGTCCTTGAAGACGAACAGTATGAAGTTAGAGTCCCTCAGAGCTCAAACTTTGAGAAGCCTCAGGGTCTAACCAAAAGACAACAAGAAAGGAGCAAACACTGAGCGAAAGAAGCAAACTGATGGGAAGAGGAGGAAGGTGAAAGCCATAAGGTCGAAAGGAACCAGGGGAAGGAAAAGTGTTTCTTCTGAAATTCACCAGTAGGAATTTACCAAGTCTTAAATATCCTGAGCTGCTCTTGAGGGAAAATGAGGATTTTCTTCAAGCACGAAGTTGCATCTCAGCTATGCCCCCTGCTCACTGAGTATGGAGCAAACCCTGCAGACAGTCCAGGTGAGCTGGGGGGTTGGGATGGGGCAGGGGGGCGGCAGAGAGTAGTGGAGTTCAGGGAGGAGGTAGCCGGGGTGTGCTGGAGTGTGGGAGAGGACGGCACGAGGTGGGACAGGTGTGTAAAAGGAATATTTGTCCAGTGTAGCGTGTTGAGCACTTTGGGTGGCTTCTAGGATCAGGAAGGAGCACCTGTTCGACATTGAGTAGTGACCCAGGTAACAAAGATAAGACAGCGGTGTGGAAGATTTTGTGGGCTCAAGGGAAGGAAGGGCTTCGTGTTCATCCCTATTCTTGAATAAATCAGGGCTAGATTCCCACGATGTGGACACTGAAATACTTTGGCAGGGGGTAAAGATTTTTTCATTTGAGAGAGAGTTTCCCCCACTAAGCTGGGAGCTCGACGTAGGGCTCGATCCCAGGACCCTGGGAAGATGACCTGAGCTGAAGGCAGATGCTTAACCGACTAAGCCACCCAGGCGCCTGGACACCAAAACACTTTTTAAGTAACAGAAATGCAGCCTGAGCAGCACAGGGAAAAGTGAACCCTGTGGCTGTTTAAGGCCTGAAAGAAAGATACTGTAGGATCCCAAGCGTCCTCAGGACTCAGGATGGATGTACATATGAAAGTTGCACTCATGATACAAAGTATTTTGGTGACCTACTTGCTGAGAATGTGTTGCTTCAATTAGAAGAGGCCCCAACCCCATCAACAAGGTGAGATAATGGACCTAAATCTGAGCACCTGGGGAAAACAAGCACTCAGGTTCGGGTAGGGAGACTGGCTTAGCAGCTCGTGTTTAGGAAACAACAGTAACAAGCATGACAGCCAGAAACACCGGTAGTGGAAACTGTGATATGAACCACCAGCATCATGCATTTGCCAGAAAAACCAAGTCCTATTGGGCTGTGTTAATAAAAGCATGGTATGTGGAAGGAAGGAGATTATAGAGTCCAGACCATTGTTGGCCCCCCGTGGTCATTTGTGGTCACCAGTGTTAACCTAAGGTAGCCAGTGGGAGGACAGCTGCAGAGGCAGAACCACAGGAGCTGGGATGATTTAGCTGAGAAGTAAAAGCACTTCCTAACAAATGTAGATACTCAAAACTGGCTTGGGCTGCCTTTTGCCGAGTAGTGAGTTTCTTATCCCTGGAAGTGTTTAAACAAAAGCTTTACTCACTGGATCTGGGTGCGTAGGGAGGCTTTCTACACCAGGCAGAGGGGTCATCCTTCCCGCTTCCTCCCACTGGATGATCCCGATTTTTCCTCCATCACCTGCTCACCATTTCCCCGCCTACCGGGCTCTGATTGTGATCTGGGGCAGCTGCAGAAGGGGGCGAAGAGGAGCCTCTGGGTTCCCGACTGGCTAGTGCCCCCTGGCCAGGGAGCAGGTGGATCCACTGACCCGCACACCCAGGGCTAGTGTGCAGACTGCTGGCAGGCGGGGAGTCAGCTAGAACTGGCCAGCAGCGAAATGACCCCGCGTCCCAACTTCTCGGAACAATACTGGCAACTCCAGCTCCACCAAGATCAGCAATGATCCGGGCGCACAGCCTGCAGCGCCAGCCTTCGTCCGGGTGTCTCTTTCCTCCCCGGGCCTCAGTCTGACGCCCGCAGCCCTTCGCAGGAAGCCGACTCCCAAACCGGGGCAGGGGGTGTGGGCCGAGGCGAAAACCCCGCCCCCAGGGGTCCCTGATCTTTGCCCTCGCGCTGGGCTCCGCGCCTCCCCAGGAGGCCACCAGCCGGCGGGCGGCTCTGCCTTTTGTGTGTTTCGCTCCGAGGTGCCAGAGACCACCCCCCGCCCCCCAGCCGTCCGGCGCGTCCCCTCGCGGCCCCCGGCCCCTCCTCTCGGAGTCCCCAGCCCCCCTGCTCGGCTTCGCGTGCCAGCTCGAGGCTCGCTGGTTCGCTCCCTGCGGCGCCAGGAGGAGGGGCGAGGGCCGGCAGCCCCCTCCCCCGCGCGCGGCGCCGGAGCCCAGCCGAGCCGGGGGGACCCGCCGCCGCCGGTCATGTGGGCCGGACTGCTCCTCCGGGCCGCCTGCGTCGCGCTTCTCCTGCTGGGGGCCCCGGCTCGCAGCTACACCGGGAGGAAGCCGCCCGGGCATTTCGCCGCCGAGAGGTAAGCTCTTCTCGCCCCTCCCCTGTCCCGCCGCAGGGGCGCTCCCCGCGTGGGGCAGAGGGGCTCCGGGGAGCCGCCTGCAGCCGCGGGTCTGAGCTCCCCTCCAGGGCGCTGTCCGCGCGCGGGCGCAGCCCAGGGGGTCCGGACAAAGAGACAGCAGCCTGTGCTCTGGGCGGGAGCCAGTCCTGCGCCCCTGGCGGGGGCTGTCCTGCCAGGACCGGTGGTGGGGGGGATGGAGAGCCAGGCACTGCGTGAGCCCCTGAGTGTGCCCTGGGGCGCGGACCCCTGGCGAGGGCAGCCCCGGACGTGCCACGGGGTCTCCGGAGCGGCTGGCCGTCGCTGGGGCTGGGGGCTTCCCCCGCGTCCAGGGTGCACGCACGCCGTGGACCTTGGAACCGCTGGGCTCTCCCTGGGTTACGTTCCGGTTTCCGCCTGTGTGAGCGCGCGGGTGGGGGTGGCGTGTTTGCCCCTTTGCTCTCTCCCGATTGATGCCACCCTCCCCTCGAGTCTCCTCCCGGCGGAGGTAGGGCCGCCGCGGGCCGAGCGCGTGTGTGTGCGTGATGCTCCGAGCGAGGGAACACGGTGTCAGCGGGCAGCCTGGCCCGCGGCCACCGCCTCAGGGGGCGCGCAGGGGGGCGGCCCCGCCAGGCTCGCAGCTCGCACGTGTGTTCCGCCGCCACCGCCAGTTCCTGCACCGATGGGCCCGGCTCCGCAGCGCTTCGGAGCCTTCCAGCCACCTGTCTCCCCATCACCGCCCGTCCGAGGAGGCTCCTTGGGGCGTTCGGCCCCCTGCCAGCTGAGGGGGGGCGACAACACCGGCCTCCGGGGCATCCTTCCGTCTGCCGCTTCGAGGGCACCCCAGTCCCTTTCAGGACCCCGTCCGAGGAGCAGGAGCTGCCGGCTCCTCTTTCCCAGGTTGCTGCCCTGATCGCTCTGGCCCGGGCGACCAGTGCCAGCTTGGCCAGCACCTCCCACCCCCCAGGGCCCCGCTTCTTTGCTTCTTCTGTGATGACTTCAGAGAAGGAGACGTCTCTTTGAGACTTCAGGCACAGTTTGTGCAGATGTCTCCGTGCTGCCCTGTGCCCGCAGTTCTCCTTCCCAGAGTGCTTGTCACATGTGACAGCTGCTCTCCCTGCGTGGAGTGAGTCTGCCTTTGCCGTCCTTGTCACCCCCGTGCCTGCTGCCGCACCTGGACCTGGGGGGTACCCTGTAGACCACCTGACCGGCAGAACATTCTGAGCAGGGGGAAAGCACAGTCTGGGAGGGTTTTCTTGTCCCTCTCCGGTGGTGCAAGGATTCCCAGTTAAAACCGGGTGGGACTCCATCACTCTGCCCAGCCCATCACAGGATCAGTTCCAGTCACCCTCCCTGACCTCCTCGGGGGCTGTGCACCTGCTGCTCCCTCTGCCTGGAGTGCCCTCTCCCTGCCTCCACTCTCACACCTTACCGCTACTCCTCTGGCTCTACTCCACCTAGATCCTGGCCTTCCAGGAAACCTCCCCTTCTCGGAACTCCAAAGCCTGTCCCTATGTGGCACTGGTCACACTATTTTGTTATCACCTGGGTCTTTGCCCAGCGTCCCTTGAAGGTGGGAAAAGTGGCCTGTTCCTGACCGTACTGCCATGCCTCATCCAGCGCTGGGCACACTGTTTCCCTTTTACTGGCACCCCCGGCCCCACCATGAGATTTTACCTGGGGAATGACATTTCTGGCTCTCTTGGGGCAGCCCTCTTCCTTCGTCCCTTCTGCTGGATTCCTTTCTCAACCTTTCCCTCAACAGCCGTTTAGCGAGCACCTACCACATGCCAGGCATTGCTCTGGACACTGAGGGGAACACAAAAGATGGACCCGGGTCCTCAGAGAATGAGAGGGGAGACAGACAATGAACAAATCAACAATTGATAAGTAATTTAATGTCCCAGGAAGCAAGTGTTAAGAAGAATAAAGCAATTAAGGGTGGATGAGATGGATCTCTTTGAAGGTGCAGGAGCAGAGAGAGACTGGGTAAAGGAGGGAGTGACCTGGGTACACTTCTGAGGAAGAACCTTCCTGAATGAGGGAACTGCAAGTGCAAAGGCCCTGTGGCAGCCATACCTAGGGCCCTTCCTCCATTTCCATCTATCCCCCTCAGTGCTAAGGCCCCTCTGAGGCCCCCCCCTTCCACTCCCCCAGCCACTCTGCTCTGTGTTCATGTGCCAGGCCTCAAGAACTGTTTGTTGACTGACTTGCTGACTGGTTGGGAGGGTTTCACCGCATGGCAGACCGATCCCTGGCCCAGAGCAGAAATGTGGAAAATGCTCTTTCCTCTCTCCTAGACGCCGGCTGGGCCCCCACGTCTGCCTCTCAGGCTTCGGGAGTGGCTGCTGCCCTGGCTGGGCCCCCTCCATGGGCAGTGGGCACTGCACCCTGCGTAAGTGCCTGTCCCCGTGCCCCAGATACCCTCCCCAGCAGGGCGCTCGCTCCCTGGGCTGGCCTAAGTAGGTCCCACTCCCTCACCTGCGTTTCTCCTCTCAGCGCTCTGCTCCTTTGGCTGCGGGAGTGGCATCTGCGTTGCTCCCAACGTCTGCTCTTGCCAGGATGGAGAGCAAGGAGCCACCTGCCCAGGTAACTGGGGATGGGCCACGGCTGTTGGGAAGAATTCTTCTGGTGCTGAGCCTGTGTGCCCGGCTCAGGGCTTTTGTCTTACTGAGAATATCGTCTTCCAGCAACCCCCTTAGGGAGGCCTTCTCATCCCCATTTTACAGATGGGGAAACCGAGGCACAGAAGTTAGTGGCTCGCCCAGAGTTACCTGGCTAGTGAGTGGTAGAGCTGGATTTAAGCTCCGGCCTCTTGGCCTCCAGAGCCACCTTCCCAGCAGAGTTTAGGAGGAACCCTAGTGAGGCGGGGGCTGCTGGCACTGAGGTGTGCTATGTGCTCACGGGGGTGGTGCCTGTTCTAGAAGCACACGGACCTTGTGGAGAGTACGGCTGTGACCTGTCCTGTAACCACGGAGGCTGTCAGGAGGTGGCCCGAGTATGCCCCGTGGGCTTCTCCATGACGGAGACGGCTGTCGGCATCAGGTGTACGGGTGAGAGACATGGGGGCCGGGTGGGGGGGAATTCTGTCTCTTCCGTCCATCTGTCTGTCCTGCCAGGGCAGTCTCCAGAGAGATGCAGGCGAGGCTGAGTGAGGCCAAGCTCTGGCTGGGGGTATGGGCAGGGAGGCAGGCAAAACCAAGAAAAGGGTCCCTTCTGCTATGAGCACCTCTTACGGGCCTAGGGGCCAGGGGCTCTGGTGACGCATGGTGGCTCGGTCCTGGCTGCTGTTGGTCCCTGCTTCTGAATAGGAGGAGGGGAGGCAAGTCAGGATAACCATGGTCCCATGTAATGGGGCCATAACTGGCCAAGTGCCCAGAGCTGGGTCCACAGAGGGGCAGATAACCAGCACGGGAGGTGAGTTGACCCTGGAAGTTTCCCTTGGGCTCGTGATGTTTGAAAGATGAGGAAAGGCAGCCTCAATAACTACTCTGTAAAAGTGCTATTTGTTTGTGAGTCTAAAATGTTCTAACAGGCAAAGTCTGTCACCTTCCTCAGAGGCGGCCACTGGGACCCATTTCTTGCGGATCTTTCCAGAGAGCTGAAAACAAGCCACTCCCCTGCCTTTTTTTTTTTTTTTTTTTGGAGTTTTGACTTTGTAAAAATAATGTTTCTTTCCTAAATATGAAAGTAAAAAATAACCTATTTTGGAACATTTGGAAAGTGAAAGAAGGGTAGAAGGTACAAACAAGCATGTCCCCAAAGTCCCTACCCAGGGATATTTGTTACTAAAATGAAGTTGTTTCTTCTGCCCTGTTCCTTGGAGGTGTATGTGTTTGTAAGAGTGTGTACCTGTGTGTGTATGTATGTTAGTTGTGTATATCTGTGTGTTCTGTAAATGGGGCTCATACCTTATGCAGAGTTTTCATTCTTTTTCTCACTTTTTATTTTTCTTTTTAAAAATTTTTTGAAGATTATTTATTTATTTATTTAACAGAGATAGAGAGAGATCACAAGTAGCAGAGAGGCAGGCATAGAGAGAGGGGGGAAGCAGGCTCCCGGCTGAGCAGAGAGCCCGATGCGGGGCCCGATCCCAGGACCCCAGGATCATGATCCGAGCCAAAGGCAGAGGCTTTAACCTACTGAGCCACCCAGGTACCCCATTTTTATTTTTTTAAAATATTTTATTTATTCATTTGGCAGAGAGAGACACAGCGAGAGAGGGAACACAAGCAGGGGGAGTGAGAAGAAGCAGTCCTCCCACCGAGCAGGGAGCCTGATATGGGGCTCGATCCCAGGACCCTGGGATCATGACCTGAGTCGAAGGCAGACACTTAACGACTGAGCCATCCAGCTGCCCCTTTTTCTCACTTTTTATTGGGGTTGGGGAATAGTCCTCACAACAGAGGTTTTAGGGGTCACGTCTGTGACTCTGCTGTAGCTCGCGGTCCCTCACGGACGTCGTCGGTAGCTTCACTACTCCCAGCAATGCCACAGTAAAGAGGCTTCTCTTTATTGTTCCCAGAAGGAGAGCCACTGGGTCAAGGGTCTTGCTGAGGATTTTGGTGCTCGGGACTCATTGCAACATCCTCTTGAGGAAGGCTGAAGCAATTTTCCCCCCAGCACCCCCGCCGAATGTTTCCTGGGGAGCTCTTTCTACACACACTTCTTGTTGCTGAAGCAAACGGAACTTGGAAAAGCCGATGTTCTAATGTCAAAGCTAGGCCCCGGGGAGGGGGGATCTGGCCACCGCCACCAGGGGTCCCAGTGGGATGGGGCTAGTCAGGGTGGGCTTCCTAGAGGCGGTGGGTGTGGTCCCGAGGGGCCAGCTCTGGGGAGAGCAGGTAGGGAGAAAGGAGGTGTCCAGCAGGCTTGGGGCCAAGGGTTGGGAGACCCGGAGGCAGACTGCAGTGGGTGGCACAGATCTTGTAGGTCCTTGAGAGGTTATCATGGTTCTTAGAGAAGGGAGGACATGAAGCCAGGGTGCGGAGTTCTGTCCCCTGGTGCCCCTCACCCCATAGGCCTGAACTTCCGAAAAGGACTGCTTGGATCCAGTCACCCCACTCTGGGCAGCAGCCTCAGGACCTTCTGGGCTCTCTGCAGCCCTGCCTCCACCCATTGGTCTGGCCTCCCGCTGCCCCTGCAGGAACCTGAGCTCCTGCCAGTGCCAGCGCAACTGCAGGCTCTCTCCGCTCATGGCCCCCCTCCTCCTGATTCCTCCTGGTCCTCTGCCCACCTGTCCTCCAGGCGTTCCCCGGTGGGGCGTGTATCACCCAGCCGGGTGCCGACTTCATGGGCATGTGGCTCTTGATGTTATCAGACCCTAACCAGCTGGAGAGTCTGTGCCATGTCTCGGCCGCATTTGTGTCCTCAGTGGCCTCCCTCTGGATCTGCTGCATACAGGTGGTGCTCAATAAGGATTTAATGGAACTGAATCAGCCTTCCTGCTCACTCCCCTCTGCCCTCTGAGCGTTGCCCTGCAGTGGGGCCATTGGAAATGACTCTGTCTCAGCCATCCTCCATCCTCTGGTCCGAGTGGGTCACAGAGAAGGATCCTGGCCCTCAGCCTCTGCTCTCTGGTGGTTCCCTCTTGCCTGATGACTTTCCTGGGGGTGCCTGGTCTTTCTTCCTTGGGGAGGAAGAAAGGGGGTGGTGGTGCTTTCCACCTGCTGAGGGTAGGCTATCTGACGGGACAGCATCCTCGTGGGGTCCATTTTACCCTCGCACCTGACTGCCATGCAGAGTGGTCCATGCAAGGATGTCTTCTTCTCTTCCCAGACATTGATGAATGCCTAAGCGCCTCTTGCGAGGGCCAGTGCGTGAACACGGAAGGCGGGTTTGTGTGTGAGTGCGGGCGGGGCATGCAGCTGGCTGCCGACCGCCACAGCTGCCAAGGTGAGCGGCCTGGGGACAGGTAATGATGATGCCGTTGCCACTGTGGCGGGGCTCTGAGTCAAAGGCGTGGTGGCCCTGCCCAGCCCAGCATGGGCGCTCCACGCCTTACCACATTTCCTGGTCCCCCGAGGGAGATCCTGTTAGTCATCCCTGCTTTAGTGATGGGGAAACTGAGGCTCACCCAAGGCCATTCCGGCAGGAAGCGCTGGACTCGGCTTGGATCCTGGCATGTCCAGCTCTGAGCTGGCTCTGCAGGGTAGAGGCACAGGGCTGGAGAGGCCGAGGGGAGGGCCCGGGGCAGGACCAAGGAGGCCCCCGAGGTGAGGGAGGGCTGTGGGAGAGACACACCTGCTGCAGTCCTTAACCCACTGTCCTCATTAGCTCTCTCTGCCCCAGTGGTGTCCCAGCTGCCCCATCTGGTGGGGAGGGCCAGGAGGAGGTAGGGGTGAGGGCAGGATGAGGGAGATCTTCTAACATAATCATCCCTTCCTTGAAGATGCTTCTTACTTGTGGAAGGAAGCCTTTTCTCTTAAACCAGGCAGATAAAGCAAAAGGTCCCTGTGAAAGTGTGGTGTTATTTTCTATCATTTGCAATAGTCATAAACTGTAAAACAAGTTTTTAAAAGTTGCTACTTCCAGACCCTCTTCACCACTCCTGAGCCCTGCTCTCCCTGGGGAAAAACCCTGATGTCTTAGTCTGCTCAGGCTGCTGTAACAAAACCCCACGGACTGGGCCATTTACACAGCAGAATTTATTCTCATGGTTCTGGAGGCCGGGAAGCCCGAGGTCAATGAGTCAGCCTATTCGCTTTCTGGTGAGGGACCTTCCTGGCTTGCAGACGGTCTCCATGCTGTGTTCTCACGGGGACAGAGAGCTGATAAGGGCACTGCTCCCATCATGAAGGAGCCCCTTCAAGACCTCAGCTAAAACCAATCACTGCCCAAAGACCCCGCCTCCAAATCCCATCACACCAGGGGTTAGAACTTGAACATGTGCTTCTGGGGGAACACAGCTCCCCCTAGCACCTTGCTATTGATCTGATGCATCCCCTCCCTGCTTGTCCCCACAACATGTACACATACCCACACACACCCACACGCCCATACACAGTCACAGAGGTAGGCTGAGTGGCCGAGAGGTGCAGAGCTGGATTCTGGCCTCATGCTAAACACCTTACGTGCATTTTCTCATTTCTTTCTCAGACTGATGCTGTGAGGCTGGTACCGTTTATTTCCATTTTCCTGATAGGAACACTAGAGGCTTAAAGAAATTAAGTAACTTGCCCAAGACCATGTTAGACCTGGGATTTGCGCCTCTGGTGGTTGTTTTTCTCAGCAATCGGTCTTGAAGATCTCTCCAGATCAGTATGAATGGGCCCGCGTTGCTCTTTTTAACTGTTGCCTGGGGCTCTGCCTTGCGACTCTCCCACAGCAGACTAACTCTTCTCTTATTGATGGACGCATACATTATTTCCAGTGTTTCACAATTTCAAACAGTGGCATGGGGAAGCTTTGACAGAGGAGGCGCTAGAGAAACTGAGTTTTGAGGTATGCGTAGGAGTTTCCCCCTAGACAAGATGGACAGGGATCCCAGGCAAACAAAAGAACGTGGGCAAAGAGGGAGGCCCATAAGAACATGGTGCATTTTGGAAGGTGGCAGAACAAAGGTGAGGGACAGGGAAGGAAGTGGGAAAGGCCACCCAGGGCTTGTGAGCTATGATGTGCCATCGGTGCCCATGGGAGCAGAGAGTGGCCCGGGTGTTTGGTCAGAATATCCTGGACGTTTTGTAGCAGAAGGCTTGGGAGGAGCACAGGGAGACGCACCAGGCTGTCGCTCTTCTCAAACTAGAGACAAAGGTGACCCAGGCTGGGGTAAGATAGTGAGGATGGAGAGAAGAGGGCTGGCCCAGGGAGGATTTTGTTGATAGGCTGAATGTGGGTAGTGAGAAAGAGGGGTGAGGAGGGTCTCCCACGGCCCTGAATGGGGGAGGGGATGGTAAGGGGAGAGGAAGGGGGGAGCACCCAGTTCTGACACTCCATGGGGTAATGAGCGGCAGCCTTGCCCTGGTCCCTTGCAGACACTGACGAATGCCTCGGGACCCCCTGTCAGCAGAGATGCAAAAACAGCATAGGCAGCTACAGGTGTTCCTGCAGACCTGGCTTCCATCTCCATGGCAACCGGCACTCCTGTGTAGGTAAGGTGGGGGGGGCCTGTTATCTTCATACTTAGGCTGCCCATCAGGAGGATGGGCAGAGCGAGCCCAGGGACTGGGAAAGGCCAGTGGTCCGGACCTCCTGGCTGCCTGGAGCCTGGAAACCCTTGAGCCTTGGGGTCAGAGCCTGCCCTTCCCTGGGTTTGGCGTGGCTCCTCATGGAAGACCCTGTCTTGGACTTTTCCTGGCCACGTGCCACTTTCATCCCGTCGCGTTTCTCTTCCACCCCTCTCCCAGATACATCCCAAGGATTCCTCTCTGCTCACCCATTTTCTTGGCTGCCTTTGCTCCCCTTGGTAAATAAAGCATGTTATGTCTTGGTTCCTCTGGTTTAGAAGGAGACCCCTGTTTTCTTAGCCCATTAGCAGAAATTTCCAGAAAGGGATTGATTGGCATGTTTGGCTTAAGCTTGGCTCATGGCTTGAAGGTGGGGGCCCTTCCGCCTGAAAACAGACCTTGTTCTGGCGGACTTTGGTGTTTGTCCTGAAGCCTACCTTGAGCTGGGCAGTGATGTTTGAGACTTTTTTTCAGGGGGCCACACCATCCCCTACCACATGTGGGAGGCTGGAAGTTTTGGAGATGAGATTCCCCCGGGGGGGCCCATCCCCACCAGCCAGCATCCCCACCAGCCAGGGCATAACCATCGCTGCCTAGCGGGGCAGGGGGCGGGGGTGGGGCGGAAATGAGTCATCGGTGCATCCATTAAATGCCAAGGGGATGTATGAACTTTCCAAAGGGACTAGCAGTAGATTTCAGCCCCACTCCTAGACGTCTGAGTCACGTCCCAGATCCCGAGGCGGGGATGGAGCCCATAAGAACATGGCAAGGAGACTGCCCCCGCCTTCTGGGCTCAGGGATGCAGGAACAAGGGGTCGTCGCCCCGACAAGGCAGCTGTTGGCAGCGCGGCTCTCCTACAGATGTAAACGAGTGTCGGAGGCCGCTGGAGAGGCGAGTCTGTCACCACTCCTGCCATAACACCGTGGGCAGCTTTCTGTGCACATGCCGACCTGGCTTCAGGCTCCGAGCTGACCGCGTGTCCTGTGAAGGTGAGCCACCAGCCCCGCAGTCCCGGACCCAGGCCTGGTCTCAATGCCAGGCCCCGCCCTCATGCCAGGGCCCGCCCACCGTCCTCCCAGTCCCCGCCCCACCCCCGGCCCCGCCCCCCACCCTCACGTCTTTGGCCCTTCTTCCTTTTCCACCCATTCTTTTCCAGTTCATCTTGTTATTTCCAACTCTTCACGTTCTTTCTCATTTTTCCCCTCCCACTTCTTTATCCATTCGTCCTCCCTTGCCATCTTACTGTTTCCCTAACCCTTTTTGTTTTCTTGCAAATGGTAACAGGGAAAGACAAATGCTAGAGGAGCCTGAGACAGGAGTCCCCGGAACCTGGGCTCCCAGGACACTTTGGACAAGGTGGCGTCAGCTCACGCTGCCATGCTTCAGCAGTGTGCCTATAAACATGCGTATAAGGTCACTAAATACTGAGCACTGGCTCATTTCTAGTGCACCGCGAGCTTTCCCCAGCTGTGCCTCCAACCGGAGCCTCAGCATCCCCTCCCGGGAAGCCACATCTGGGAGGGGGACCCGGGGACCCCGTCCCAACTTGTCACTTGGGCCTGTTCCAGTGGTGCTTTTCCATCCACCTGTGTGAACGTCACCGCAGCCCCTGTGGTCTTGGGTTGAACTGGTGGTGTTCACCAGTTATGCTGATGAAGAAACTGGTCCGGAGATATCCAGTGACTATTGGTGGAGGAGCTGCCTTCAAGCCCCCCCCCCGCCCCGTCCATCCGCCTCCTGCTCCCCGCTGCCTCCCTCAGGAGACCCCTTTGCTTGCATTTCAGCCTTCCAGAAAGCTGTGCTCGCCCCATCGGCCATCCTGCAGCCTCTGCAGCCGCCGCCCAAGATGCTCCTGCTGCTCCCAGAGGCTGGCCGGCCTGCTCTCTCCCCCGGACACAGTCCTCCTTCCGGGGCCCCGGGGCCCCCAGCTGGGGTCAGGACCACCAGTCTGCCTTCTCCCACCCCTGTACCACCCACATCCTTGCCCTCTGTCCCAACTCGGCTGGTGGCTACCCCCATGCCTCGTGCCTCCCTCTTGGGGACCCTTGGACCTCCCTCACAACCACAGGAGGGGTCCCCGTCCTTGCCCAGGGGCCCAGCAGCCACACAGGTGGCACCAGGGTCCTCTGCCTGCTGGCACCTGGGAGCCACATATGACTCAGGGAGCCGCTGGACAGAGCCTGGGTGTTCCCAGTGCTGGTGCCAGGTAGGTGGGAGGGATCCTGGGGGCTGCCGAGGTCTGGTGTCTGGGGCCTTGTGATGGCTGGAACTCCTGCTTCTGCTTCCAGAATGGGGAGGTGACCTGTGAAAAGGTGACATGTGAAGCTGCTTGTTCCCACCCGGTTCCCTCCAAAGATGGGGGCTGCTGCCCGTCGTGTACAGGTGGGAGCTGGTCTGGGGAAGGCTGTGAGTTCCCCATATGGTCCTACTCCTTCCCTTCCCCAGCCCATCTGCAGCTGAAAGACTGTTCTCCAACTTCTGGGGTACATTAGAATCACTAGAAGGGTAATTCTTGGGTCTCATCCCCCAGACCTTCTTATTCATTAGCTGTGGGCCGGGCCTGGGAATCTGCATTTCTAACAAGATCCCGGGTGATGCTGGTGTTGCTGGTCCAGGAGCCACACTTTGAGAACCACTGGTCTATGCTGTGGTATCCCTCGGGGGGAACTTTTCATCTTCTGGGGATCCTTTCTGAGCTTCATCCTTTCATACGTTCAGTGAGTTTCCCCAACTCTACCCAGTGGTGCCCCTCCCCTGCCCCAACTCCCCTCCTGCAGCCAGAGGAGTAATCTTTTGCAAATTCTGTCCACTTTCCAGTTTACTTCCATAATCTGCTTACAGTTTTTCATTCACTTCCCCTTGCTGTTAGGATACAGACCCTAAATCTTCATAGGTCCTTCCACAGAGCTTCTCACAACTCACTCTGCATGTGGATCCCTGGGATCTTGTGAAAACCCAGCTTCTCATTCCGTAGATCTGGGGAGGGGCCTGAACTCTGGCTATAAGATGCTGGGGCTGCTGCCCGGGGAGCAGCAGTGAAGACATCTGAAGGGTTAGAATGAGAAACAGACTTAGTGGCTTCTTAATGATAATCGTGACCTTTTGCCATGTTCCTACTGTATACTGAGCTCTGAATGTGAACGGCTGGGCACCTTCCATGTGAGGCTGTGGGTCCATCCAAAGCCCCGGCAGGGCACGTGGTGGTATTCCCATTTTGCAGTAAAGACAACTGAATCCATGAAGATTAAGTGACATATCCAAGGTCACTCAGGTTAACTGAATGGACAGACCAGGTTTTTGAACCCGGGGCTGCCTGGCTGCCTTTCCTGCCGTATGGGAATAAAATGCCACGTTCTCAGTAGAGTTCGGGGTTTATAGACCTAGATGGAACCCTCCTGGGCCATCTTCTGTGGGTGTCTTCTGCTTACTTCTCCAGGGGTCCTAGGACTGCACAGTCCTGGGTACCTAGATCTGCCGCTCCCAGGGCATCCTGGCCGTGAGAGAAGGTTCCAGGGACATTACGCCTGGAAAAGTAATGAGACCTCAAGCTTCCTCTGCTTTGAAGAGGTCTGATGCCTCCACTCCTGTTTGTCTTTCAAAAAGGCTGTTTTCACAGTGGCGTCATCCGAGCCGAAGGGGACGTGTTTTCCCCTCCCGACGAGAACTGCACTGTCTGTGTCTGCCTGGTGAGCATCCCAGGAGCCCCAAAGCCTTGTGGCTGTTTTCCTAACCTTTGGGGGTTTTAGAGGAAGAGGGAAAGCTCCGATGTTGAAGGTGAGCTTGTCAAACGGAGAAAGAGTTCCCAGGTTGTGGATTTTGGTCGGAACCTGTCAAATTTAAAGGCGTGGGGGTCTGTGGAGTCCAGGAGCTTTCTACTGAGCAGCGAAGAGCCAGCAGGCAAACAGGGTCCATCTGTTGAGGAAGGGGAGGGGATGGAACTCCCTCGGAAACTTCCCACCAGGGAGGCTGTTTTTCTCTCCAGGCAAAATATTTGCCAGCCCAATAAAGGTATCCACAGTTGGGAAGCGAAGCTTGAATCTGGCGTCTTAGACCCCTCGGCCATCCTGACACCCTAGGTATCCACACTTGGGAGGGAGGAAGCTTATTACCAGTTTGTTAAGAGTATTATTTTGCTGTAGGCCAATTCACTTCTCAAGGAATAGTTATTAAGCACCTACTGTGTTCCGGACACCGCCAGGTGCTGTCCCATCGATTCCATTAGGAGCCCTCGGGGCCTACTGGGCTTGGGGCTTGGGGCTTTTCTTCTCTTGCCTTAGCTGTGGCTGCTGGTGGCTTGTCCGGGTCAGCTCTCCCGTCCCTGTTCTACCGATGACAAGACCAAGGCATGAGCTGGGATTTGAGCCAAGGTCTGTGTCCACAGCCTGGGCTCTGCCCACCACCCCTCACCGCCACCCTCTGACCTTCACTGCCCAGGTGGCGAGGGCAGCGGCCACCGTGGAAGGCTGGGGAGGGGGAGTGGGGGGCAGGGCACGGAGGCAGCCAGCGCCCCCCTTTACCCAGCTTCCCCCCTGTGCCACGCACACACAGTGGCCAAGCACCTCTGTGGATCATGTCATGGCACCAGTCCTCAGCAATCCCCGATGGAGGCGCCATTTCTGGCTCGTCTCGCAGCTAGGGAAACTGAGGCTCAGGGAGCTATTGGACGTTGGCCAAAGTCACACGACTCGTTAGTGGGGGAGCAAACTCAGCTCTGGCTGGCTCCAGAGGCAGGTTTTTGGTTTTGTTTTATTTTGCCTTAACTTCAAATTTTGAAATTTAGTTTTAAAGTCAATTCTTTGAATAGACAAGATTTTACCTGGTTCAAAACTGAGATGCACGGGAAGGTGATTCTGGTGGCGTAACCTCCATTTGCCTCTTCCCGGCATCCTCGCAAAGCTCCTGTATGCCATGGGAGGATGTCCTTGGCACGCGGCGGTAAACGCCAGGACCTGGGTCCCTGCACACTGTTGTTGCTTTCACCATGGTGGCATTCAGAGGTCCTGGATGATTTCCTTTAAGGGGCTTTGGTGTTGGACAGGGGACCCAACGGGTTGCGTGAAATACGGGACAAACCGAGGGGCTGTAGGGCCTGGTTCTCCCCCTGCCCTCTGCCCCCCACCCAGCACCATCTCTCCCCTGCTCAGGCCGGAAATGTGTCCTGCATCTCCCCCGAGTGTCCTCCCGGCCCCTGTCAGACCCCCCTGAAGTCAGATTGCTGTACTTGTGTTCCAGGTCAGTGAATCTTTGGGGTGCAGGTGGGGGGGTTTAGTTTTTTTGTGTGTTTTTGGGGAAAGGATGAGTGGAACAGAGGACAGAGATTGGTTTTTGCTTTGGAAACTCAAATCAAGTGCAGCATTTCAAAGTACCAGTTTAATTGAGCACTTACTACGTGTGCTGTAGTTTGGACGCTAGATCGGGCTCCCTGCTCAGGCGGCCCCTGCCCAGGAGGTGCCTTCAAGACAGCCAGGAAGGGGTGTGAGGCCACCCTTGGCATGGCTTTGTCTTGGGACTGGGAAGGCGTCTCCCCTTCCCCACTAATGAGTTGGTCCTTTGTTAAAAATGTGGTTCTCTTTTCCTGGGATGACCTCATCATCATCACGAATGTTCCCTGACAGCTCTGTGCTGTTGCTTGCCAGCCCTTGATCTCATCGCATCCGTGTGGTTCAGCCTTGAGGGAGTACTATTCATAACCCTATTTCATAGATGACAAAACCGAGGCTTACCAAGGTCATCACTGCCCAGAGACCTACAACCAGTTAATATATGAATAGAACTTGAAATTGAGCCTACCTGATTGCAAAGCTGGTGTTCATTAAAAAAATATTTTTCTTATATTTTAAATATTATTTTTAGCTGAGATATTTTTGAGTAGGTAATGTACTGCCTATGAAGTAATAATAACCGTCAACAGCTCTTATCAATCCCATTCTACAGATGGGAAGACTGAGGCTTAGTGAAATTAAGGATGTTGCTCCAAATCCCTCCCTAGTGAGTTGTGTAGCTGGGATTTGAATCCAGGGCAGACCGACTGAGTGGGGTGGGCCTGGTCCGGCTTGCGGGCTGTTTTATCAGTGCGGGGGTGCCTGGGTGGCTCCGTCCTTAAGTGTCTGCCTTTGACTCGGGTCATGATCCCAGTGTCCTGGGATTGAGCCCCGCATCAGGATCCCTGCTCAGTGGGAAGCCTGCTTTCTCTCTCCTACTCCCCCTGCTCATGTTCCTGTTCTTGCTGGCTTTCTCTCACTGTCAAATAAATAAATAAATCTTAAAAAAAAAAAAAAAAAGAAGCTTTCGGTGATTCCTCCTGGTCTCCAGGGGATGGCTTCAGTCTCGGACCTTGTCTTAGGTATCTGGGGCAGTCTCTTTTTCTTTTCTTTTCTTCTCTTTTCTTTCTTTCTTTCTTTCTTTCTTTCTTTCTTTCTTTCTTTCTTTCTTTCTTTCTTTTCAAAGCCTCGGACCTTGTCTTAGGTATCTGGGGCAACCTCTTTTCCTTTCCTTTCCTTTTCTTTTCTTTCTTTCTTTTTTTAAAAAGATTTTCTTCATTTATTTGACAGAAAGAGCAAAAGCAGGGGGGAACAGCAGGCAGAGGGAGTGGGAGAAACAGGCTCCCCAAGGAGCAGGAAACCTGATGCTGGGACTTGATCCCAGGACCCTGGGATCATGACCTGAGCTGAAGGCAGACTAACCGACTGAGCCACCCAGGCGCCCTGGGACAGTCTCTGTTCATTTCTGCTTTTCTGTTACTCTTTAGTGATTCTGGGAGTCCCCTCCCTTTTTGTTTAAGGGTCTTAGTCTACATGTGGGTCTTAGTTTCATTCCTGCGTCAGTTTCCAAGCAGCAGTGTAGTTTCCGTAAGGAGGGGCTTGGGAGGGAGTGGCTGGCTCCTTGAATGGGGCACATGCTGTGGACATGGTAGGAGGATCTTAGCTTCCCCAGGGCCCCCCGACCCACCACCGTTTTGCTTTCTCTTTAGCTGCCCCAGCCCAAAGACCTTGAGCTGCCTCTCCCTTTCTCCCCCGCAGTGAGATGCTATTTCCACGGCCGGTGGTACGCAGACGGGGCTGTGTTCAGTGGGGGTGGTGACGAGTGTACCACCTGTGTCTGTCAGGTAGGTGGGTGCAGGAGACGGCCGGGTGCAGGGCTTCCCAAGCATGCCTCAACCCGGAGAATAGGAGCTGCCGTGTGGCAGAAGGGACACGGAGGAAGCAGAGACATTATGGGGACCTGCGTTCACCAAGGACTTCCCACCGTCCCACCGTTCTCCCTTTAGCGGAGCTATTTATAGAGCACCTACTGTGTGTCTGGGGCAATGTTGAGTGCTGGGGGCACAGCTAAACACAGGACAGCCCCGGTCCCTTCTTCAGGGGGCCCACAGCCTAGGTGGGCCACGGGCAGGTGGTGGCGAGGGTTCCTGACCAGAGGGGCAGGCTTCTTGGAGGGTGGGGAGCTAAGCCAAGATCTGCAGGGTGAGGGACTTACCAGGAGAGGAGCCAAGGCAGGGGTGCCTGGCAGGGGGCAAGAGCATACGCCTGTTGTCAGGGCTTGAAGATGTCCCTTCTGGCAGTGTAGGATGTGGGCAACGAGTCAGGCAGGAGAAGAGACTGCAGATGGGGGGTGCTTGGGGTTGGGGTCTGAGAAGCAGGGTCCGGGGCGGGATTCTTGTGTAAGGGATTTCCCAAAGATTTGCAGGAGGAGCCAGCCATGGAAGCGGGACCGGGGCGGGGGGGTGAGGGGGGGGGGAAGGAGCCAGGTGACCACGGGGTCTCAGGCTGATCCCATGGGGAGCTCTGGAGTGAGTTGCACGGCCAAGAAGGGTGTGGCCAGAGGCCAGGGAGCTGTACTTGTCTGTATTCTCTCTGCTCCCAGGGAGGGGAGTGGGGGGGTGAAGGAACCATCCAGGTACCTGGAGGGCCCGTCCCCTGTCAGCCAAGGGCAGTACTTGGGGGAAGGGGTCTTGGGGAGGAGGGGGCCCCATAGTCTCTGCCTCAGACTCAGTCATGAGGGGCTTTGCCAGCCTGGTGGAGGGCTCTGCGCTCGGCAGAGCTGCTGATGGGTTCTAGGTTTGGAGCTGTGCGATTCCATTGGTGCACGAGAACTTTCTCTGGCTGCGGAGTGAGGGCAGACTGGAGTGAGAGCTAAGTGAGGGCATGAGGGGCTGGGGTGCAGCCGGGTCCAGCAGGGACCCCCATCCCAGCAGCCGGGAAATCCCGGAACACGGTCCCAGCCTTCGCCCCCAACCTCCTGCCTCCCACTCCCACTCCTACTCCTTCTGCTCCACGAAGATTCTTTGTCACTTTTAGGAGGGTGACAGCAGCCTTCTAGGCTCCTCTTTAGCTTTCGGATAGCCCGGGGCTGGGGAGCTGCCCTCATAGCCTGTGCCCTTGGTTCTCTTCCAGAATGGGGAAGTGGAATGTTCCTTCACACCATGTCCAGAACTGGACTGCCCCCGAGAGGAGTGGTGGCTGGGCCCTGGACAATGCTGTTTTACCTGCCGGGAGCCCACACCCATGACAGGTGCGGCCCCTCGGCCCTACTTGCTGGCGTTCTGCCCGACATGGGGCCTGGATGCCCTCCAAGAGGCAGGCTTCGTGGCCCCTGAGGAGATCGTGTGTGTGCGTGTGCGTGTGTGTGTGTTTCAGGAAGCGTGTCTATGTGTGAGTGTGCCCGTGTGTGTGGGAGTGCCATCTGCGTGTTTGTCTTGGAGTGTGCGTGTTTGTGTGACGGGCCCGTGTGTGAGTGTGCGCACTTATGGGTTCGGAAGTTGGCATCTGTTTGCGTGGGCCTGTCTGTGCGGAACAGGCACGTGTTTGGAGGGAGCACCCCCGCCCCCAGCCCCCTGCTGGGCCGGCAGCTGTAGGCAGCCCCTGGGCCCAGCAGGGGGCGGAATGGACACTCTGCGGGACCATCTGTGTGGCATGAGCAAGCCCAGCGTCTGTCCTTGGGTGGGGGTCGCCCTGTAGGTTGGGCAGGCATTAGGGACCCTCCTCAGCCCTTGTGCCCCACCGCGCTTTCTCCCTCATTGTCCCCTGGCCAGGCTGCTCTCTCGATGACAACGGGGTTGAGTTTCCGATTGGACAGATCTGGTCTCCGGGTGACCCCTGTGAGTTATGCATCTGCCAGGTGAATGGCAACCTGCACGCCTTCAGCTGCTCCCCCAACCCCCGGCTGTCCCTGCCTCGCCCCGAGCAGAACCCCTTGGCCCTGACCGGGTCCTCCCTGCCGCTCCTGAAGCTGTCCCCATCCTGTGCCGGCAGGTCCCATTTGTACAGAATGGGGTGTGAACCGCTGGTCCGGGAGCAGTCAGGGTCCCAGGAGCAGGATTTCCCTGGGGATGGATAACCGAAGGAGTGGGGTGGCCCGAGGCTCCACGGTTCAGGTCTTCCCTGTGAAACTGCGGGGATTCTTTCACAGACCTAAAGCTGTGACCTCAGCTTGGCGGAAGCGGGTCAGGAGACGGGTCTTAGAGTCGATGGGCCCAGAGGCAAACAGCTGCTTACCAAGGAACAGCCTGGTTTCTGCTCGCTGTTTAAGCACTCGCTGGCTTTCCTTTCTGCTTTAGAAGAGCTTTTAGTCCCTCGGATCTTAGAGCTTTATCTCTCAAAACAAGGGCCGTGCCCCCGGGAGGTGTCTGCTGGACACACAGACTCTCCAGGCTGCTCAGACCTCTGCACTCAGAATCTGCATTTTAATCCCCCGGGTGACTCGTCCAGCCATTGGCATGTGAGAGGCACAGGCTTCACGGGTCTCCGATGCACGGTTTGTGAAAAAGCCCGAGACCCTTGCAAAACTTGGAAACGTTTCATCGGAATTACAGTTGGGAGGAGGGCACATCCGCTCCCTCTCCCCTTTATGACTGACCAGGGCCCTCATAGTATGAGAAAGCAACACAAAGGCTTCAACAACAGAGTCTTAGAAAAAAAAAAAAAAAAAAGGAAACCATATGTGGTGCTTTTGTCTTCTGAAATAGACATTTCCGGTGGAATAGTTTTCTATAAAAATAGGATTTTATTGTACTCCATAGGTTTGGGGTGAGCAAGGGGTCCAGGGAAAAGCTGAGAGAAGAACTTGGATGGGCTGGTGTTGAGCTCTGGCTGCCACTAGAGAGGGACAGGAAGCCTCGGAGACCAGAGCCCCGCTCTGACCTGCTCTCTCAGTACATAAGGAGGCTCACACCCCCTTTCCCCAGTAGCCAGCCCTCTTTGTGGGGAACCTGCGACCCCCCAGCAGCATCATGGTACCCTTTGGGCCAAGCCTCGGCCAGTGTGCAACACGGCCCTTTCTTGGGGGTGGAGGTGGGCATGCTGGGAGGCTGGAGCGCGACAGGGAGGTGGGGCCGGGGTTACAGGTAGGGTCTGGGTGAAGTTCTTCCTCCTTCAGGCAGATGGTTCAGTGAGCTGTAAGAGGACGGACTGTGTGGACTCTTGCCCTCACCCAATTCGGATCCCAGGACAGTGCTGCCCGGACTGTTCCGCAGGTAATTTCCTGCTGGCGGGGGGCGGGGTGTGTGCAGCACAGCATCCCCTGCTCCCCTTGGCAGAGATCCCTGACACTGCCCCCTGCTCCACACACATCTGGGCTCACCCTGCACCAGGCTCCTCCGTGCAAAGTTTGGGCCCCACAGGCTTCATCCCCACAGCCCCACGGGGGATGTCCCACGGGGTAAGCCCACCGTATAGATGAGGAAGCCGGACTTCAGAGACCTAAATCTGTCTGCCCAAGGCCAGCCCTATCTGGGTGCTGGAAGCAGATACAGACATTCTCCGAGCTTCCATCCTGGGTGGGGGTGACCAAGGAACCATATGAGTGAAACAATTAGGGAACAGTGAGAGAACTTAACAATGCCACTTTATTTTTTTTAAAACACTTTCTTTCTTTTTTTAAAGATTTTATTTATTTATTTATTTGACAGACAGATATAGAGAGAGAGATCACAAGTAGGCAGAGAGGCAGGCGGAGAGAGAGAGGGAGAAGCAGGCTCCCCGCAGAGCAGGGAGCCCAATGCAGGACTCAATCCTGGGACCCTGGGATCATTTCCTGAGCTGAAGGCAGACACTGAATCGACTGAGCCACCCAGGTGCCCCTGCTTTATTTTTTTATACCAATGTTCCCCTTTTCCATGATTTCAAAAGTAACATTTTATTGAAGTACATACAGCAAAAATAAAAACAACTAAAAAGGGCCCCTTATCACTTTTAGCCTCATGGTTTTGTTTTTCTGATCTCTTTCAATGAAGTATCTCTGTTTCTGTAGGCTGCAGGTTTGTAACATGTACCTGTATCTAAGAAATAACATACTGATGACCTAGAACATTCCCCTGATGTCTTATCACCTGCTTTCATTCTTCCCAGGATGTGATAAATGTCCTCAAGGTGGCAGCATTCAGATCAGACCCCAGCGGGCTTGGGGAAGCTGAGGGGAGAGATGTGGGGGAATGTTCTGGAAGGTGGGGACTGGGTGAGTGGGTTGCTGGGGGAAGAGCAGAGAGGATGGCTGTAGTGCCTGGGCCAGTCCCTCTGGCCTGATCCTGCCCAAGAAATGCTCCCTTCCTTGGAAGTGGAGACACTCTGACCCCTCTGCTAAACCCAGTGCAAAGAAAACAAAAACAAAAACACCCAATCCAGACCTGTGTTTTGTCCCTTCCCCAAACCCTGGGGATGACTGCCTGGGGAGGCAATTGGCCTGACCTTTGTTACTCAGAAGACTCTCAGACCTTTGCCCTTGGCAGGAGCCTGGTCACCAGCCCCCTACCCAGCGGGCACTCACCCCCGTGCTCTCTCTGGCAGGCTGTACCTACACAGGCAGAATCTTCTACAACAACCAGACCTTCCCGTCCGTGCTGGACCCGTGTCTGAGCTGCATCTGCCTGGTACGGCCCACCCGGCCCTGACCCCTGTCTATGGAACCTCCCCACAGGCTCACACCAGTTCCAGAACCTTGGACGCCCATCCAGAGCCCCGCATAGGGAAGGTCATTCTAGGTCACGGGGAAAGTTGACTCCCTCTGGCCCTACCCCGGGTCAATTTTTTTTTTTTTTTTTTTTAAGATTTTATTTATTTATTTGTCAGAGAGAGAGCGAGAGTGAGAGTGAGTGAGCACAAGCAGACAGAATGGCAGGCAGAGGCAGAGGGAGAAGCAGACTCCCCGCTGAGCAAGGAGCCCGATGTGGGACTCGATCCCAAGACGCTGGGATCATGACCTGAGCCGAAGGCAGCCACTTAACCAACTGAGCCACCCAGGTGTCCCCCCAGGATCAATCTTTACCAAGGGCCAGAGAAATCTTTTTAAGCTTGCCCCGTGAAAGTCCTCTGCCAAGGGGCATCTTGGGGGCCCCTTACAGTGTAATGTGGGAGTGTTCCCAGAGGGCTCAGGGGAGGGTCTCAAGCCCAGGGCTGAGCCACCATCTTTAATAGACTCCCATTATGGTGCTCTTGCCGTGGGCCGGTCTGGCTCTCGGCCATTTCCCTGCATGAGCTCAGTTAATCTTGGGGAGAATCCTATGAGGTAGGAGCCACCATGTCCTCCATCTGTGGGTCAGAAAAATGAGGCACAGAGAGATGAAGTCATCCTTCCCTCAAGAGCCTACAGCCAGTCCTGCTAGTCGGCTGAAGTGCCAGGAGTCGAATCCTGGTGTTCTGAGTCTCTGCTCTGGGAGGCGCACTTGGCCAGACTGCCTCTCAGTCTGAAAAAGCATGTGGGACTGTTCTTACGATTCAGATTGGGAAAACGGCTGGGGGTGGGGTGGGGGGGCCGGCCTTGCTGCTTGTGCTGCAGGAAACGTTTGATGCAGGGGGAGCCCCTTTGCTGGCAGTGGGTGAAGATGCAGCGTGGAAAGGGACAGGGTCCGCGGGATCAGAGGACCTCAGGGCGAACATCTCGGCCTCTGAGTGGCCCTGTTCATTCATGGGCTTTGTGGAGCTCCAGGCTTCTAGGTCCTTCTCTCTCCTTGGTTTTTGGTGCTCACCCTTCCTGGGTAATTCGTGGGTTTGTTCAGCTGGGGCCTGGTGACAGATGAGCTGCCTTGTGGGGCTTGCCCTCTGTCAGGAAGACAGATTCTGAGTGAAGGAACCTGTCCCCGCACCATGGGGGCTCCAGTGGGCGCTTGATGGCTCTGTGGCTGTCCTCCCAGAGGGTCCTGGCGGTGGCCCAGAACAAAGGGCCTCGTGTGTTTTCTGTGTCGCGCAGCTGGGTTCTGTGGCCTGCTCCCCCGTGGACTGTCCCATCGCCTGCACCTACCCTTTCCACCCTGACGGGGAGTGCTGCCCGGTGTGCAGAGGTGAGTGGGGGAGCCACCGCCCCACGCCCGAGGCGCCTGGGAGGCCTCGGCTCTCACGGCCTGGTCTCCTCTGCCCCTGCAGACTGCAACTACGAGGGAAGGAAGGTGGTGAATGGCCAGGTGTTCACCTTGGACGATGAGCCCTGTACCCAGTGCACATGCCAGGTAAGCTGGGCCTGGGGACTGCTGCTTGCCTTTTGTCCCTTTGCAAAACGCTGAGTCCCCTTAGCGCACAGAAGCCCATCTTCCTCCCGCTTCCCAACTTTAAATAACAGCCAGAATACCTTTGGATTCGATGGTGCCCTCCCTCTTTTGGGTTCCTTAAAACCTCCATCCCAGGATATTTCTGTGGGTGGAAGAGGGTACTCTTCCGTGGGGGCACTGTTCCGGGAGGGGTGATGATCTGGGCTTCCTCATGTGTGTCCTTGTGCTTCCCCAGCTGGGAGAGGTGAGCTGTGAGAGGGTCCCCTGCCCACGGGCCTGCTCTGAACCCTCTGGGCCCCCCGGAGACTGCTGTTCCTCCTGCCCAGGTAAGCGGACCTCTGGGTCCTGAAGCTTCTCCACTGTCTTCCTGCACTTTGCTCTTCTTCCCAGAAACCTAGAACTTGTAAAGGGCTGGATGTTCAAAACCCAGGCTCAGAGAGGGAATGTGTTTTGCCCGAGGTCACACAGCCAGCATGTGGCGAGGACACATGGTTGGGCCCTGTGGTTAGCAGGTGGAGTACTAGGTGGTGGGGCATTGAGAGCCCTGTGGGGCCTCCTGGGGCAGGACAGCGTGTCACCAGACAGGCGTCCCCACCTGATGGGGTCCTCGAGAAACAGGAAACTCATCATGATGTAGCTGGTTCCCCATACTCCCACAAGCTCTGCACTGTGTGTCTTGAATTTTTCTGATTTAACATGTCCATAGAGTACCTTAAATGTGGCTATTTTATGCTTCTTTTTTTTTCTTTTTAAACATTTTGTTTATTTATTTGACAGACAGAAATCACAAGTAGGCAGAGAGGCAGGCAGATGGGTGGGGGGAGTCAGGCTCCTTGCTGAGCAGAGAGCCCAATGCAGGGCTCTATTCCAGGAACCTGGGATCATAACCTGAGCCGAAGGCAGAGGCCTTAACCCACTGAGCCACCCAGGCGCCCCTTTATGCTTCTTTTAAAAAAAAAGATTTTATTTATTTATTTGAGAGAGTGGGAGCACAAGCAGGGGGAGGGGTAGAGGGAGAAGCAGACTCTCTGCTGAGCAGGGAGCCTGATGTGGGACTTGATTCCAGGACCTTGGGATCATAACCTGAGCCGAAGGCAGACACTTAACCATCTGAGCCACCCAGGCACACCCTGCTTTATGTTTTTTAAGTTTCCAGGAAGACAGTGAATTTTTCTACTGTTTTTGTGGCCTGGATTTCCTCTTGGATAAAATACCTGTTTAACTCCTTTGGCCATTTGAAGAGGATCCTCTCTATTTAGGGTCACTTTTGGGGTCTGTGGCTGGAGAGGCGCAGCCCTCAGGACTTGTGGGGGCTGGAAGCCTCCTGAGCCCCTCCGGCCCTGTTGTTGAGAACCCTTGATTTGTAGATTTTGCTTCCTGAAACCGCCACACGCTTCTCGGCAAGCTGATGGTTATTCCGCCTACTGTCCGGAGGCTAAGCGTTTGCGAAGAAGCTGGGCCGCGTCCGGAGCATGTGACCTGTGTTACCTCCTTTATTTGCTCCCAGGAATGTGGCTGCTGTGGTTATATCTCCATTTTGCAGATGGGCAAACGGAGGCCCAGAGAAGTTAGGGTTCTGTCTTAAGACTGCTCTCTAGTTCGTGGCGCTGGGCTCAAGCCCAGGTCTCCCTGATTCCTTCCCCCGTGCTCTGCTGCCTCCAGATGGGGAAACAGAGGCATAGGGAGGTGAGGCGCAGCGCTGGGCCCCTTCTCCTGGAACACACTGCTTCGGCTGTGTTTGCCTCGCACCTCTTCCTAACAAGCGCTCCATATAAGGAGAAACCACTTTTTGTGGCGGTAGAATGTGAGTGGTTTCCTTTCGGCAATTAACAAAAGCCACAGTTTTCATGACTATAAATCACGTACTGTTCCATTCACACACTCCGTGTACAAGCCAGGGCCTTCAGGCATGTTCAGAGTTGGGGACCGTCCTCCGGGTGATTTTTAAAATATAATCATTCCCGGTTTTCTGGGTTCGACCACATCTGTCTCCTCCTGATTGTACCTTTCTCCAACACTCCTCCTTCTTGTGGTTCTTCCCCACCGTGTTCTCTTTGCCCATCCTCTTCCTTTGCTTTTTCTCCTCCCGCATATCAAGCCGTTATGATATTCCAGGCTCCAGGCTGAGATTTAAAAAAAATTTTTTTCAACAGACTTGGTTTTTTTAGAGCAGTTTAAGGTTCCCCGCACAAGTGAGCAAAGGTGGGAGAACCTCTCCTACTCTCAGCAGCTTGCATGCAATGGAACGTTTATTACGATCAGTGAGCCTCCCGCCCTGGCACATGGTAGTCAGCCGAAGTCCGGGTTAACTGCAGGGTGTGGGCTGGGATTTCCCACGCACCATTCATTGAGTCTTCAGAGTGGCCCTGTAAGTCGTTAGGATGCCCATTCCATAGATGGGAACATGGAAGCCCAGTGGAGTTATGCACCTCCTACAAGGTCACACAGCCAACGCCTGGTAGAGTGAGTTGGGCGGACTGCCTCCCTCTGCTCCTGGTTCCCTCTTGGTCTCGCCCTGGAGGCAGGGGCCACTGGTCCTCAGCAGCCATGAGAGGTCTCTATCCCCGCCGTGGCCGTCTGGGGGAACCCCAGGGCATCTTGTTTCCTCCACCTCTCCCTAGATGCCCCAGAGAGGAAGTCCGCGGAGGTCAGCAAAGCAGCTCGGAGTCCCCGTGGAGATGCCGAGGCCCCGGTGAACTGTAGCTCCTGTCCAGGCCCCCCCGGCGGTGTTGCCTCAGAAGCCAGTGCCCCATGTCCTCCAGCTCCTCCTCAGAACGAACCTGTCTAATGTGCAGACTTTACCCACAAGCCCCTCAGGAGCCCGGGCCTTGCCCTCACCCCCTTTGGGGCCTGAGGGTACATTCCCAGGGGAGCCCGTGGCCTCCCGGCCCTCACCAGGAGCCTCCACTCTACCTCCAGCCTCTCCCGGGGCTCCTGGGCCTCCTCCTGTTACTCCAGAACCGTCCGCCTCCACCTCTGGGGTCCAGACAGGGGCCAGAAGGTCTTCTTCACTGGCCGTTCTCCTGACTGAAGCTTCAGCCCATTCCACGACGGCCCCCAGCCCCTCAGAGACCCCCGCCACCCTCCTCAGGCCTCGCAGACCCTCTCCCATCGCCTCCAGACTCTCTGCGGTCCTTACAACCACAGCCAGCTCCAGCCCCCAGTGGCCCGCTGCAGGGACCTCACGGGAGGACGAGTCCACCGGGTAAGCAGGCCTCCAGGTCGGGGCCCTGCCTGGGAGACGCTGGATAGAGAAAAGGGCCAGTGGCCCTGGGAGCTGGCAGGGAGGCCCTGGGGCGAATGAGGCCACTGACCCCGGATGCTCACTTCTGACCTCCGGCTCCTGGAGGGATGGGAAGTCCCCAGGACCCCTCGCAACCTCGTCCCCAAGAAGCATTTGGAACGTCCTGTGAGAACAGCAATCGGTACTCTCCATGGTCAGTATCCTCCTTGGACAGCACTGCCGGCCTGTCTTTTGAGGACGGCTGGGGTTGCTGAGCTCCCCGCTTTGGAGGAGAGGAGTCAGCGAAGGCCCTGGATTCCCCTGGGACTGGGCCACCAGCTGTCCCGTGTCCCTCCCTGAGGTTTCCTGATTAAAGCCTGTCTCAGTCTCCCCCACACTGCCCTGCTCACTCACTTCTCGCCTTTGGAAAGGTGGGGAAACGTCACTCCAAGCCCACAGGTGCTAAACCAGCACCCCACCTCAACCCTCCAGCTCGGGAGAAAAACCAGCACCCAACTGGGGTGGCGTGGGTTGGTTTCTTGTGGAAGCACCTGCTGCCTTTGACACTGGGGGGCTCCTCCAGTGAAAAGGGAAAGGATGAAGGAGGAGGCTCCGTGGGTTGGGTTCCCTGTGGGGGAGCCTCGCGGAGATGGACCGGGAGTGCGTGGTTCCCCAGGGTACCCTCAGCAGGGGCACCTGCAGGCAGGTGGGAGGCGGGGAGGGCAGCAGTGAGGGAGAAGTCCTAAGCCTTAGCCAGCCCCCTCTGAGGCTAGGGTGGCCCTTCAGAGTTGTCCTGAGTTGGCGCCAGGAGCCAGGGCTCTGTGCCCCGTGTTGACCAGTAATTCGAACTGGGCTGCCCCAGGCAAGGGTCGTGACCTTGGCAGGGCTCCCTTCAGCCCAGGCCGTTCCTAAGAGGGCTGATGGCCGAGAGCTCTTAGCCAACAGCCTTCCCAGCAGCTGGGGGAATAAATATCCAGTCTTGAAGGGGGGTCTGGGCAGTGGAACCCAGTTCACACGACAGATGGAAAGAGGACAGTGCTGTCATTAATGGGGGTGGGATGGAGATGGAGGGCAGGGAGCTCTGCTGTCACCGAAATCCCTTTATTCTGCAAGCCCCAGGGCACAGACCCTACCCACATTTGCGGGGCATCGCATCCCCCTACCCCGCAGCTCTTCTCTGCCCGGCTGTTCAGCGCACGTCCCAGGGTGGAGTTCTGTGGGGGCGCTGGCTGCAAGGCCATCTGGGGCACCGACCCACACCCCAGTGTGGCAGTGAGGTCCTAATCCCCGCGCGGTGGCAGGAATAATGAATTTCTAGTTCGGAGCGTGGAAACCCAAGGCTTGAGAGAGACCTTCTTGTCCAGTAAGACCTGAGGCATGGGGTGCGGAGTGAAGTCTGGGACGCTCTGGTCAGCTGTGACCCACCCAGGGACCTTAGGTCCGACTCCTTCCTCTGAATAATGTGACACGGAGCGGTGACCGTGGCATGTGCTAATGGCTCCATACCTCTCCGTGGTTTGTCCTTGCACCCCGGGGCCACCGGCGCGCGTCGTGATGCCCCCCGGGATCTGATTTCAGGGTGAACGTGCAGCGCGCTGGCTGTCTCCACATTACCACTTCTCCAACAATCCAGCTGTCAATGTGGTAGTGGCTGAGAGTGTCAGTTTTCTCATCACTAGTCAATAAAGTGCGCAGTTTGGGTTTTAATACCGGTCTCCCCCTCCGTAGAGCCCAAGTTAATCGTGTTTATGAATGTTCGGAAAAAGCAAACCGAGGGCAGGAGGATAGCTGTAAACATTTTTCCCAAGGTGGTCCAAGCCTAAAAAACAAAACAAAACAAAACAAAAACGCTTCTCTGAACTCCCTCTCCCCATTTACAGTGAGGACTGCAGAGGTCCAGAGACGTGTCCTGAGGTCACTTGGATTGTGACGTCTGAGCTGGGAGGAGAGCCCTGCTTCTCTGACTCCCCGCAGGCTTTTGTCCCTTCGCACCACACCTGCTTGGATTCTTCTGGTGGGGTTTCAGGGACAGTTTGTGCAGGGGGCTGTGATTATCCTACTTCGGTTTGGGCTCCCCCCAAGAGCAGACCTCGAGAGAAATATTTGGGGGAGAGTCATTGACGTGGCAGGGAGTGATCCAGGAGGCACGGCGAGGGAGGGGGCAATGAGACAGATGGAAGAAAACCAACCACGGTGCATTACAGAGCAGGTCACAGCTGTAGGTTATGGGCACCTGGTCCTTCTGCAGACCTTCTGGGAGACTGGCACACACCTCAGCATTGTCCTCCTTCCGTCCCTCTCTGGCTCCCGGGCTGTTGGTTCTGCAGCCTGTCCAGCCGGCTGGGGACAAGGACGCAGACTGCCTCCTTCCCACTGACCACACGCAGGCTCTCGGGGGAGAGGTGAGGGACCTGCCTGCAGAGGGCCTCCGGGCTGGCCAGGATTCTCACTGCCTCACACGGTGGTCAGCACAGTCCCTTCCCAGGACCCCTGGGGGGTTCAGAACTGTCCCCCTTCAGGTAGTGTTGACATGACACATTGGGAGGCCCTAGTGGGATCTAACTTGGTAAGAGCATGTTCTGCCCGAGAGAAGCCTCAGGATGCTCGGGCCCCTGTCTGGAGCTGGCCGGCTCCAGCAGCCCCGAGGACTGCCTTCAAGACCCCGGAGGGGTGAGGGCTGCTTTTAATGAATGGGAGGAGCTGGTCTGAATTCTTGGACTCCAAAACTCTGTGGGGTGGCCATGGGGTGGTGTTTGGTTTTGGGGAACCCCCCCCCTTCAGTGTCCCTTACCTGGATTCCACACTGGGGAATCTTCAGAGAAGCAGTAGAAGGTGCGGAAGAGAGGATGCCTGAAGCCTGGTCCTTGGTGTCAGTTTCACCGGACCTATGGATCCCCAAGGAGCCAAAGGATCAGACCCAGTTCGAGAGACCCGATATTGGAGGTTTTCAGATCCACAGATTCCAGGATAAACCATAGTAGGCTTCAAATGAGGATAACTCAGGGGCACCTGGGTCGCTCAGTCGGTTAAGCGTCTGCCTTCAGCTCAGGTCGTGATCCCAGGGTCCTGGGATCGAGCCCCGTATCGGGCTCTCTGCTCATCAGGGAGCCCGCTTCCCCCGTTCTCTCTGCCTGCCTCTCTGCCTGCTTGTGATCTGTCAAATAAATAAATAAAATCTTTAAAAAAAAATTTAAGATAACTCGGAGGTTTAAGAATACCTTCCTTTAGCTTTTTAAAAAATATTTGTTTTTTGGGGGCGCCTGGGTGGCTCAGTCATTAAGTGTCTGTCTTTGGCTCAGGTCAAGATCCCAGGGTCCTGGGATCGAGCCCCTCATCGGGCCCCCCACTCAGCGATGAGTCTGCTTCCCTCTCTCCCACTCTTTCTGCTTCCTTTCCCTCTCTCGCTGTGTCTCTCTCTGTCAAAAAAAGAAATAAATCTTTTTTTAAAAAAAGAATAGTTTAAAAAAATAGTTTTTAAAGACTTATTTCTTTGACAGAGACAGAGAGGGAGTGGACAAGCACGGGGAGTGGCAGGCAGAGGGAGGGGGAGAAGCAGGCTCCCTAAGGAGCAGGGAGCCCAAATGCAGAGCTCCATCCCAGGACCCTGAGACCATGACCTGAGATGAGGGCAGATGCTTAAGTGACTGAACCACCCAAGTGCCCTGTGTTTTGTATTTTTGTGTGTGGGTTTTTTTTAAGAGAGAGGGTGAGAGTGGGTGAGGGGACAGAGGGGGAGAGAGAGAGAACCTTAGGCAGACTCCCACTGAGTGCAGAGCCTGACGTAGGGCTCAATCTCACGACCCTGAGATCACTACCTGAACCAAAACCAAGTCAGAGGCTTACCCGACTGAGCCCCCCAGGCGTCCTCCCTTATTTCGAATGTGTAATATGTTCACATCATCAGATATAAAAATGTATAAAATTGTGTCCAGGGTGATGTCTCCACCATCCCACATCTACTCAGCTCCCCCCTTCCTCCTTTTACCGTTTCTGATTCTAGGTGTCCTTTCTCAGTTCCTGTATGTAAATGCAAGCAAATCTTATTTTCCTTCTCTGTAACCCAAAGATAGCATGGTCTAAGCCCGGTTGTCACCTGTTAGTGTGTGTGTGTGTTTCACCTCATGATTTCTCAAGCTTTCCCCAGCACCTGGGGAGCACACTCATTTCTAACCTTTTTACACCAGCTCAGCAGCTCCTTGCATGCATTATAGTCTGCTGAACTGCGCCCCCCCCCCCCGGTGGGAGGACATTTGGGTCATTTCCAATCTTGCTTTTGCAAAAGATGCTACCAAGAATAACCTTGTACTTACATCATTCTGCACGTGTGCAAGTGTATGTCTTAAAGCTAAATTCCCAAAAGGGAAGTTACTGGGCCAGAAGATCTCCACATTTCTCATTTTGATAGATATTGCCGAACAGCACTCCTTAGGAGCTGTACCTGTTTCTGCTCTCACTGGCTCGGCGTGAGACCCCCGCATCCGGGGGAGGGGGCGTGTGGGTTCCACAGACGAGTGGAGCGGAGACCCAGGAGATGAAAATATACTCCTGGGTAAGTGTGAAGGGGAGGGATGGATCGAGCTGTGCTTAGATCCCTGAGGTCTGCAGGGAACAGAGAAAGATGACGGGAGGGAAGCCTGAGAAGATAGAACAGGAATGTGAATCTATCTTATCTTGGGGTGTGGGGGCGGGGGGCAAAGCAGAAAGAGTCTGATCAGACATGTCAGCTCTGGGTTTCCCAGTGCAAATGGTCTGTTTAAGATTTTTTTTTTTTTTTTATTTGTCAGAGAGAGAGAGAGGGAAAGAGAGCGAGGACAGGCAGACAGAATGGCAGGCAGAGGCAGAGGGAGAAGCAGACTCCCCGCTGAGCAAGGAGCCCGATGTGGGACTCGATCCCAGGACGCTGGGATCATGACCTGAGCCGAAGGCAGCTGCTTAACCAACTGAGCCACCCAGGCGTCCCGCAAACGGTCTGTTTAAAGGGGAGTCTTTTTAGATTCTCTCTGGATGCAGGAATCCCAGGGCGAGGAAACGGAAGAGGGGTGGGAGGGATGGGCTGAGCTGCAGCTGTGGGGTCCCAGGAGTAGAGCAGGAAGGGTCCAGGAAGACGGGCCCATATCCCCAGAGCCTAGTACGCTGCCTGGCTCGTGGGAGGTACTCGGGAAATGCCAGAAACACAAACACTGCAAAGGGGCCCAGATGGTGTGAAATTCCTCCCCAGAAACCTGAGAAGTCCACCTGTCTGTCTCAGGACCAGATAGGACTGAGTGGGGGTGGGAGCCGACCCATATGCTGTCTGAAGCGTGACCCCGGTGAAAGAAGGTCCGCTTCCTTGTCATTTTCTTTCAAGGTCATCTTGAATTCATCACTCAGTCTGCAAGTGTTGATTGAGCACCTG